CCGGATCTGGGTCAGCGCCGCCACACGCTCGCGTCATGGTACTGTGACTACTAGTGATGGGAAGTTCGGATCATTTTACCGACTCGGACCTTTGAGTCTCGTTCAGCAAAATGAACAAATCTTTTTTCGAGTCATTTCGTTCATTTTAGCAAAATATAATTAAAATGTTACGTGTTACTTCCCTAACCTTCCGTACGTACTTGTACACTACAAGCAATACAAAACTATAATGCTATAAGAAACAGAAAAGTGAGTCGTTCGTTCATCACGTGGCAGCCCCATAAACTTAACCTATGCTGTCTGAGCCAGAAAGAGAATTGATTAGTTCATATCTCGAGTGTTTCGAATCGTTCGTTCTTTTGTCACGTGACGTGACAGCATTGGATAGAGAAATTAGTTAATTTACAAGTTTCCTTACAAACGGGTGCATAGTTATTATTATTATTATTATTATTATCATCATTATTATAATTATTATTCACTCTTACAGTTACGTGATGCGTTTCTGGTCTCAAATTGTAGCTTTTTACTTCTTACAGTTTCTAAATGTGTGAATTTCTGTCATGATGGTTATTTTCCATAACACTGAATGTTGTAACAAAGGTAATAAAGAGTTGGTTATTATTATTAAGTCTCTTTCCGGCTCAGACAGCATAGGTTAAGCTTATGGGTCTGTCACGGGGTGCTGAGGGGGCTGCAGCACCCCCTGTTTTCACATGGTTGCAAATGCAACGCCAAGTTTGTTCATTTAAATTTATTTTTTTATTAAAAGTTTTAGCATTTAATAATTTATTTGTAATGATTTCTGAAATGTAAATTGTAAGTGGGCTATAATAAACCCATGTTTATCTTTATAAACATGATTTATTTTACTTATGATAAACCCCAACTCGGACGCACACAGCACCCCCAACCGAAAACATCTTCCCGCGCCCCTGCCTGAAATGTTTGTCTTTTCATCCTGAAATGCGAGGCAAATGTTGGATCACAATTGGGATGTTCTCTTTTATTCTGGAGGGCAAGGGCAAGGGCAATGACTGTACCATCGAGAGTATTTTGCAGTATTAAACATGTATTTATACTGATTTAATCAGGCTCCGAAAATTCTTCAAAAAGAACACAAAAAATGGCCTTCTCAGCTGCCATAGTTGCAACTCTTGCGTCATCAGAACAGAGTGTTCAACGCACCACCGTTTCCGTTTAAAAAAACGTTTTGCACCATTTTGTCGGGGCTGAACGCAGCCCAGGTGAACTACTTGACTAATTCCAGTGCAGAACCTATAGGATGTTGCGCATGCGCGACTGAACGAATCACTCAAGACGACTCGTTCTTCCCGAGTCACATTAAAGATTCGTTCAAAATGAACAAATCGTTCAAGAACGACCCAACACTAGTGACTACTGTCGTGAACTCGCCTCCACAAGTGAAGCAGTAGAGACGAAAATGTGGAATAAAGTCGTTCTTTTTGTTTTCTTTGCGGGCCAGAGAGCCCTCATATTTCATCAAAAATGTCTTAAACTGTGTTCCGAAGATGAACGAAGGTCTTACGGGTTTCGAACAACACGAGGGTGAGTAATTAATGACAGAATTTTCATTTTTGGGTGAACTAACCCTTTAAGTTAGAGTTCACTCAACTCGTATTTTAAGTGTTAACAGAAAGATTCCCTTGGATAATATAAAAAATATATTTGCTTGAGAAACAGCTAGATTTTTTAAGGCTAAATTTTCTGGAAAACAAGAGACTGATAGATTCACGACTCTTTTGCCGGTTCTTTTTAGTGAATAAAAAATAATTAAAGTGCAGCTTGTCCGATTCACGAACAAATTACTCTTACGAGCCGGTTCTTTTTAGTGAATCAAAAATAAATAAGAGATAAATAAATAAAATACAGTGTAATCAGTGCAGTCCGATTCACAGTCAAATTAATTTTATGAATCGGATCTCTTAATGAATCGTTCAAGAAGATCACGAGGTAACGTTGCAGTTTGACTAAAGAGCGGTCAAGTCTGTATTTAACATATTTTAAAGGTAGGCTTATTATTTTCAGTGATGGGTCATTCTATGGAAACGTCCACTTTTCTGTCCCTAGCTTTTACAGAAATATTACACTTGAAAAACACTTTAGGGTTACAATTTTTTTATATTTTAAAATAAAACAATGTGTTATTTGAACAATTACACCTTCTTGAGCCATCAATGTGGCAATATTTATTTTTAATTAATTATGGACCAACATTCCACAGGCCACAATCAACAACCTGATCAACTCTATGCGAAGGAGATGTGTTGCACTGCGTGAGGCAAATGGTGGTCACACCAGATACTGACTGTTTTTCTAATATTTTCATTGTTATAGCAAATACATGTTTGTGCAAATTAACTAACATCATTCAGTCACACTTTTAACAAACCTGATTAAAATAAATAAAACACAATCTCCTTATTTGTTGCATTATCATTATTTTTCTGTAACTCTGACTACATGTACTAAAAAAATTGAGAAATAATATTTCATAAAAACCTTTAAAATTGCCAGAGAAGTAAGGTAACACCAGTGACAAAAAAAAATGGTACATGTGGTCTTTAAATAAATGCACAAAAAATATAAAAAATCATTAAGCTGTCATTTATGTGTATTCATAAAGTCAAAAGATGATATAATAATGTGGTCTAAGTATAAATGTTAAAAAAATAAATACATTTGAAGACATCTTGCCATACCAAAAGTGGACGTTTCTGTAGAATGACCCTGATAAGGTTTTGTGTATAGGAAACTTTCGCCTTTAAAAATGGCAGTGAGCAGAACTGAACACAATCTCCTTGTTGTAGAAAATGAACACTAATGTATGTTACAAATTCAGTATGTTAAAGCGCTACCAGTCAAAACAAGAATCATAACGAAACGATTCGCGAATGAATTTTTGAATCGGTTCCTTTTGTGTCAGTAGGTCAAGCTGCTTTGCAAAACGTTGAATCGGTTCGCGATTCAGTCTGAATCAGTTCCTACACGCATTGATTTGTTTGGAGCGGTTTATGTAGTAAAAGACTGGTTTAGAACACAGAAAAAAAAAAGAACGCTGAATGAAGTGAATATTTACTAAAAATACATTGAAACAAAACCCTGTGAATGTCTCCTATCATGTCAGCAACGAAGAAACTATTAAAATCGACACCTGCAGCTTGAGAACGAGCAGGTTTGCTGTACAACAAACAACAATAGCGTGAAGGTACACGCCAATACACAGTAGGCTGCATAGGCCTACAGTATAAAAGTATTTCCATGTTTTTGTTTTTGTTTTTTTTAACATATGCCCTGTGAATATTATGCGGCGGTCATCCTATTACAGTGTGTGGTGGTACTGCCACAGCTACTGTAATTTTTAAAATGTATTTTTCCAAAAGAAAAAGTATAAACCACCTGTAGGTACAACAGAGGTTATCCTTGCCTTAGCAAGCACTAATGATATGACTAAATCAGGAAAATGAATTTGAATATGAATATAGGCTATCATATGTTTTAAAACGTTTTTTTCAGTGTCTGGAAATCCAGCAGGGGTTCAGTTTACATACAGTCTAAAATCATTATTTTGTGTTGGAATGAACCCAAAACAGACTTACCAAATAATGCAACACAAAATCCCTCCAGTATACATCCGACCCGTCCCGTAATGTAGTAGCCCACTGCATTGGTCACCACAGATGACACACTTCCTGTTAACGTGATGCCCAGGTCGGCCACGGCGAGGTTGACCAGGGCAAAATTCAGCGGCTGCCGCAGCTGTTTGTGCCGAAGGGTGACGACTATCACTGTAGTGTTCAACACGACAGCTGTGATGGAGAACACGGCCATGAGGAGGGACAGCGTGATGAATCCTGCCCAAGGCAGGGGCACCTTTGCACCAGGGTCATTGTGGATAGACGAGTCATTCAGGAATTCTGGGAAAGAGGCCATCCCCTCAAGCCTTAACTAAAAGTACAGATAAAGAACAGTTCCTCTAAAACGTTTTTTTCTGTAGTTCTGGTAGTTTTCCAGTCAGTTTCAAGCTATCTTCTCTGCTGTGTCATTTCAGGGTCATCAGACATGCACTTTCTGTCTGCACCTTCAAGTCGACAACACACAAAAAAGGGTTCTTATTCAGATTAGGTGCTGTAAGAAGAAAAGTCCTGAAGATCCGGACTTAAGACACAATAAGTCCTTCTGGGTGTGATCACTGATCCACCTCTTCCCTTGATTGCAGAAGAATGACTTGAATGACTGAAGTCAGAAGTTTGGAATAATAAGCAGGGGCAAACTGGGTCATGCTAAACAGCCAAATATTGCTAGCAAGAACCATCAGCAAATCGTGGGTCACAAAACCTGCAGAAAAAGATTTCTCATTTTACTGTCACCATACAGTACAACAAGCGCAACTGAAGTCATGTGATCCACTACTAGTCAACCCAGATTCAATGCATTGACTAGTGGCAGAACCAGTGGAAAATGAACAGTACAACTGCTGTACTGGGAAAAAAATATTACTTTGTAAGTGCTATGAATTTTTCCATTTCCTCATTTCCCTCATTGCTAATTATCACGTATTAGATAAATATTTACGGCAATAAAATAATGTGGATTTTAGATTTTGAATATATATATATATATATATATATATATATATATATATTTACTTTAAATGTTTACATTGCATTTTATTGAATTTTAGATTTTTAGAACAGCAAAGTCTAAGCTTTGAAATGAATGGCAAAAGTGATATAATTTACTTAATTTCACCTTATTATTTTTTGTATATATATATATATATATATATATATATATATATATTTACTTTAAATGTTTACATTGCATTTTATTGAATTTTAGATTTTTAGAACAGCAAAGTCTAAGCTTTGAAATGAATGGCAAAAGTGATATAATTTACTTAATTTCACCCTGTCAATGCATAAAGTTTTTATAGTTTTATATTATTGTTTTAAAGATGCTTCCAGGTATCTGTATCCATTCATAAAGGTGTGTGAGTGCCTGTGTTTATTATAAGAGATTTTGTAAGAGGTTCTGTGATTAGCTGTGCAGTGTGACTCTCAGCACCTTCACTGCCAGATGTCACATTTGCCCAGTACTACGTTTGACCCTGCTAAGAGTTTTAACTTCCATTAAGACGAGACGGAGATTGTGTATTTGGTGCCCTGCATTAAAATAGACAAGAGTGAACTCCAGCACAGACTAACCAGATTTGCTTCAAGAGTTGTTAAAACTATTGCTTCTGTCCCCCGAAAGACCTATAATTTCTTAATCCTATTGTTGTCTTTGTCATTCTGATTAAAGAAGGACCCTATAAGCACAGGTCACCAGTGAACAAAGACTTCTATTTCTGGATGTGCATCTATAGCTCCAGTGGACATACTGTAAGGTATTATTACAATTTAGAATTGATTTCTATTTAAATATATTTTAAAATGTAATTTATTCCTGTGATGCAAAGCTGAATTTTCAGCATCATTACTCCAGTCTTCAGTGTCACATGATCCTTCAGAAATTATTCTTACATGCTGCATTTGATTCTCAGGAAATGTTTTATTATCAATATTGAAAACAATTGTGCTGTTTAACGGTTTTGTGGAAGCTATGCTATAAATGTCATTGTAGTGTAGTAGCAGCATTGCAGTAGTACAGTATGGCAAGTGTTCTTCAATTTCAGTCACTGCTGTTTCAGCTGAGTCTGTAATGTATGATGCATTTCCCAGCTAATCATGACTGCACAGAGACTCAGGCCATGTTCAGACAGATCCATCAGAGCCCGTACCACACACACACACACACAATCACGCAGATGCACCTCATCATTTATGTGCTCGTAATTAGAGGAACAAAAAAAAAGAGAGAGAGAGAAAATGAGAGAATAGCAATTAACTCCTGGATGCCATTGTTAAGCATCAGGCTCAAGAGGTCAGTGCTGTAGAAATGGCTGGTCATGAATCGTATTCACTTACTTTCTCTGAGTACTATCTGCTCTTTTATGGCATCTATTGATGAGGCGCAATACTGCATCTGGCTGACTTATTCTATATATCAATGTATTTTGCTGTATTTATTCATTAAATGAATAATTCACACAAAAATGAAAATGCTGACAATTTACTCACCCTTAGGCCATCCGAGATGTAGATGAGTTTGTCTCTTCATCAGAACAGATTTGCAGAAATTTAGCATTCTATCACTTGCTCACCAATGGCTCCTCTGCAGTGAATGGGTGCTGTCAGAATGAGAGTCCAAACAGCTGATAAAAACATTGTGATAATCCACAAGTAAAAGACTTGACTACAGGACTTCAGTTAATGCCTTGTGAAATGAAAAGCTGCATGTTTGTAAGAAACAAACTGTTGTTTCCAGCTAAAATCCAGAGTCCTTTGTCCACAATATTGTTTTCTCCAGGGAAAGTCATCTGGTCTGAATCAGGAGAGAAATATGCACAGATCAAGCACCGTATACAAGTAAAAACAGTTCTAATCCAATATGTGGGTGGATTTTGATGTGAGAGGACAACAGTGATGAACTTTTTCACTGGAGGAATCATTATTATGAAGTCATTGTTTAAAGTTAAAAGTAAAACAAACTCGCAGCTTTTTGCTTCACAAGATGTTAATTGATGGACTGGAGCGGTGTGGATTACGTGTGGATTATTGTGATGTTTTTATCAGCTGTTTGGACTCTCATTCTGACGGCACCCATTCACTTCAGAGGATCCACTGGTGAGCAAGTGATGTAATGCTAAATTTCTCCAAATCTGTTCTGTTAAAGAAATAAACTCATCTACATCTTGGGTGACCTCATGGTGTGTAAATTTTAATTTTTGGGTGCATAGCAATGAATAATCTGATGTATCCAGAATCATATTTTCATATGACAACTCCGATAAGACCATTTGGGGGACAGAAATCATGAATATTATTCTAATTTTGGCCGTTTTTAACTACCTGTTCGAAACCATTATACAAACACTCTTTTTTTTTTAAACGTAATTGGACTTTTGACTCAGTCTTACCGTTATTGAGACATAGCCGTTTGAGACAACTAGCCCCGGTTAAATAAACTGCAAAGTGTGATCAAAACAGTTGTAACTCCAATATGCAGAATCATGCACTGCTGTTAGATAGGCTATGAAAATTAGTCTTATATCAAGATGAATAATAATGTTTATATAAGAAACTGTAATATTATTATTTTTTAATTCTTAATAAATAAATGATTAATATGAAAGTAAAATACGTAATCTCGAACCATATGCTCCATCACTGCTTGATACCAGAGCAAAAGCATCCCCAAACGGAGGACTGCGCGTGGCCGAGGGAAAGTTTCGCATCAGCTTCTCTCGTGTGCGCGCTCGCGTGAGGAAACGGCACTAGATCTCCCTGCCTAAATTTCGAGCCTCACTGTCTCGATGACTTTCTAATCGCTTTTCCTCTCCCTACACTTCTGCCTTTAGTATATGCACTGACCCGATAGTGTCGTTCATCATAATATCAGCAGCGCCAGTAGTGAGAGCGCGCGAGTTAATTTGGTTATAATCAGCTCTAAGAGAAAGGCTGTGAGCACAAAATAAGCATTTAAAACCGGTTTTGTTCTCTATACCCCTAAATGCAGCGATAAAAGGCAAAGATCGATGTCAAAGAGCACGAGCAGGAGGAGGTCGTGGGGTGTGTGACAGCTGGGCGGAGAGACTGAAACTCCGGAGGCAGCACGCGCGCTGGGGCGGGCAGATGTGAGGCTGAATCGGCGCTCGGTGCTGTTTTTGTAACCGAGGGGAGAGAGACCGAGAGGAGGGGGGAAATCTAAAGGGAGCCCGAGCCGCCGGTTCCGTTGCAGCGCGAGAAATTTTGGGTGAAGGATGCAGCGGAACCGGAGAATTCCTCTGATGCACGCGCGCTGCCTCCTCTTGTGTGTGATGAGCGCGTGCTGGACGGCGCTGGAGGTGCGGGGGTCCCAACCGGAGATCCCCTTATCAGTGTGAGTAGAAGAGCATGCATGCACAAAATAGAGAAGAAGCCATGATAAGAGAGGTTAAAACTATACTGTAGTTTTATTTTAAAAGTCTATAAATTTCTAGTACAGATTATAGATGCATTTTTAATTTATGCACATTGCATTAAATATAAATGCATGCAAAATATAGAGAAGCCTTAATAGTTATATTTCATCTATGCACATTTGTAGAGAGAGAGGTTAAAACTATCATTTATAATGGCTTTGTATTTTAATGGTCAATTTATAGCTAAAAATCAAACGTGAAAGGCTTTAAAAAAATAATTTATTCACATTTTATTATATTTAAAGGTGTGCAAAACAGAAAATTAACTACATTTAATCTATAATCACAAGTGCACTTAGAGGTTACAACTACTTTGCGATGGTTATTGCACTATTGTAATATTCTGGTTATCTGCAAATATGAGAGGCTTTTATTATATATGCACATTTTATAATATTTAAATGTAAAAAATATATATATAGAAAAGAAGCCCTGATAATTGCTGTTGTGTGTACAAAAATACAGTATACAGTAAAACAAATTTGAAGTGTGCAAAAACATGCTTCATGTGATAACAGCTAAATCCACTGATTTTATTTAAACCCCAAATATAATTTACAGTGATATGATATAATCAGCCTCACTACATTACATTACACCAATGAAAGTCATTATTAAGAGGCATGATTAAAGAAAGTCACGATTAAGATCAGGTATAAATAGTTCCTTACGATTATTTGGAATGCACGTTTTCACTTTTTATAGTGTAGAAGGAAAATACAATATAAGCTTTTATGGCTTAAGAACTTTGTTGTTGTTGTTGTTGTTTGAAATACAATAAATGAGAATCATAAGGGATGAAAATGTGGATTAACCTACAAACCCCCATGCTCCTATATGCTCATATAGAATGCAATGATTACAAACAGTTATTGCTTTAACTTATGTTAACTGTTTTACTCCTTAACTATCATTATATTATTGCTAATACTTGTAATGGTGGCATAATGTGTTTTAATTTGAGTGATTAAATAGGTTCTTCTACCAACAGGGTGAAACTCTGGGCTTCAGCATTTGGTGGTGAAATAAAATCAATAGCTTCTCTCTCTCTCTCTCTCTCTCTCTCTCTCTCTCTCTCTCTCTCTCTCTCTCTCTCTCTCTCTCTCTCTCTCTCTCTCTCTCTCTCTCTCTCTCTCTCTCTCTCTCTCTCTCTCTCTCTCTCTCTCTCTCTCTCTCTCTCTCTCTCTCTCTCTCTCTCTCTCTCTCTCTCTCTCTCTCTCTCTCACACACACACACACACACACCTCTTCTTGGCTCATAAGAATACAGATGGCTTTGGTTTACAACATCCAGGTGTATAATCTGAGATGTGTGTGTGAGTCTAAACACCTGTGTAGGACTAGCTGGAATAGACAAATAGAATAATTGAATGAATGTGTGTCTCTTTATAAATGACAAAGGAGCGTCTGATGATGCACTACACACTTTAGCCACACGGTGGCAGCTGATATTATGAACTGAGTGCTTCAAATCTTTTTCTGGCCATCGGGTTCAATTTTTTGAGATTTAAGGCATTTGGAGATAAATGTAAAAACAGGGAAATTAGACACAGGCACATAAAGCAGATGCCATTTGATGCCATAATATCCCCCTTGTGTTATTTTTTAAATGTATTATTTATTCATTAATATCCATTCATATTATGAAGTCTTATTGGTGTGAGGTGTTGTAGATGGTTTATATTTATGCATTAATTAAATGTTGATAACACTATGTCAAAAGAGAAAAAAAGGCACATACACACATTGCAATATTAATATTTTATTATTAAAGTTCATATCTGTGCTGATATGTTGCAGATAAAGGTCTCCACCTGGTTTCTTTGTTCCACTGTACCATGTTGTAGCTATTACTGCTGTTTGAATGCACTATGCGGTGGCGTTATATACTACAGAACACACTTCATTTCCTCTCGGTTTCTATTGAAGGAAAAACAGTGATGGATGTTTTGAGATAACCCTCTCTCTCTCTCTCTCTCTCTCTGAAGTATTAATAAGTCTCTCAGTGTTGGTGTGAGATAAGAGCACAGCTCTCACCATCAGTGCACATATTATCATCGTAATTACCTCCTCACAGAATATGTGTGCGTGACTCTTTAACTGAACTAGCCTGAGTCTGTTTATAAAACAGCAGAAATGAATGAAACTCAAGCTTTATTACTATTACAGTTTTCATCGATGTTAGTGAGGTATATAAGTGTCTATGTTGGTGTCTATCTGTGTGTGTGTTTTTGAAGGATACAATGATAGAGACATTCAATAAAATTGAGTTATTTTTTTTCTGCACACAGTACACTGATTGTTTAACTAATGCTGAGATTTGGGGTCTATCTTTAGCTACAGGGCCCTTACTTACAGAAAAAATCTATAGTGTAGTCAGAGCCATTACCGGTGTTGTATTTATCCACTGATCCGAGACCAATGTGGCTGATTTACCTTGCATAGTTGTTAACAGAATTATTTACACAAAAATGAAAATTCTCTTTGTTTACTCACCCTTATGTTGATCCAAAACCATTTGCTTTTATGCTTTTACTGTTCGGTTCATAGTAACCATGTCTGTCAAGCTCCAAACAGACAACATAAACTAGTCCATATGACCCATGTGCTAAACTCCAAGTGTTCCAAAGTCATAAAATAGCTTAATGTGAGAAACAGACTAAAATTTAAAGGGATACTCCACCCAAAAATTTTAATTAATTTCATTATCTGCATGTCATTCCCAAATTGTATAACTTACTTTCTTCTGAGGAACATAAAAGAAGATATTTTGAGAAATGTCTCAGTGATTTATTTATTTTTGTCCATATGGAAGGGCTTCAATATTGTTTGGTTCCCAACCTTCTTCATTATTATTATTATATATATATATATATATATTTTTTTTTTGGATATTATTTACTGATAAATCTAATTTTCCATTGTGCAAGTTAGTTCACCATGTTCATTACAAAACACAAAAACCAATGAAACGTAATGACTTAGTGGAAGATTATCAGATATCGACTACTGAAATTTCCATTTGTTCCTCGCCCAAAAAATTGTATGATTCAGAAGGATGAAATATAGTGCATGAGTTGTATGGACAATTTTTATTATTATTATTTTTTTATTTTTTATTTTTTATTTTTTTGGTGATTGTAAGACAAATTTGGCAGATGTGGTCACTGTAAATTGTATTAAAAAAGAGCTGAGTGAAGATTTTTTATAATCAGTGCTAGGTAGATTACTTACGAATTATAATACGTTACTGATTCCAAATTACATGACATGTAGTCGATAACATAATTAGACTACACATTTTAGGTAACATAATCTGACTGTTTATGAATTACTTTTAGATACATTTTGTACCAATTTGATATAAAAATACAAAGAGGAATATATTCAATCCTTTATATTAGTAAATAAGCAGTAGGCTTCAGAACGAAAAATATTAAAGATTTCAAAATTTTCAAAGAAAAGTTTAACGGTTTACTGCCATTGTGTGAATAACGTAATATAATCAATAAAAAAGTAATCTAATTATGGGTATTTTAAAAAATAATGTAATTTAATTATGCAAGTATTAATTATGTAATCCAGATTACATGTAATCAGTTACAGTAGAACTGTTTATCTATTCTTCAGTTTCCCATACAAAAATACAACATATTGATTTGGAATGATGTAAGGATAAGTAAATAATGACACAATTTTCATTTTTGCGTGAACTATGCCTTTAAGGTGAGGGTTTATGATTCAGCCATAAGCATCAATAATGAATTTGTTCTACCCAAAGTCATCTTCATCAACCTAAACGCGCACACACATTAACACACATTGTAAAATGTCCCAGCCAGTTGTGTTCTCTCTTCATTGCCATTTCTGCGTATGTTTGCACTTTTTCCCATCATCCTGCTCAGTGGGCGTGACCGATGGGTGGGGCTCAGGGCCAATAAACTGTCTGTCTGAAGAGCTGGAAGCAGAAAGGGAGGGATGAGGCAGCAGGCCGGTTCATTAAGGAGGATCGTTAAGAGTGATCATTAAGCTTGTTATGCAAAATTACCTGATTTTTACACAAAGGGGGAGAAAAACAGCCATACAAATGCCACCCTTTGTTGCTTTCAATTGGTGAAATTTCCACATCGCCGCAACAAAATAACAGACTGAACAAATACATTACCATTAAGCATCTTTACAGTGAATAATTTTGTAGCATCTTGAGAATATGATGGGGAAAGCTTGTTAATGTTCAGCGGTTTTGTGCAGAAGTCTGGGACACTCCCCGGGACTGTTTCGCTACAGTGTTTTGAATCAGTGGGGTGATCATCAGCTATTGATGAACGCAGCATTAATGGCTTTGATTATGGCGTTTTTGGGTGCCTGGATGGAGGGTGAGGGGTGGGGAGGCCGGACAGGCGTGAAATGAACTGTTCCGCCTCAATAACCCTCCATGGTCTCTCTCTTAAAGGGGTCATTTGCTGCGTGGTGCTGCGATCTGTGTGTGTGTGGAAGGGGGTGTCGGTGTTAGAAACATGTCGTGGGATCTGAGATGTGCCAGAGTGTGTGTTTTCATGCAATGTGATGTCCTGTTGTGTTGTGTAAAAAAAAAGAAGTAGCAAGATTGTTTTGCTTACAGAAAACTTATTTTTATCATAAAGCATTTTTTTTAATTGAAAGGACTGTGTTGAACATGTTTTGGGATTTTAGATGTGCAAGAGTGTGTTTTTATGCGATTTGTGTCCTGTTGTTTTAAAAAAAAATAAAACTAAGATGTATGCTTGTCTGTTTGTTTTAACTGGATTTTTCTATTTTTTTGTCAGAAAGGCATTTTTGTTTGTTTTTTTAAGTTAAAGGGACTGAGTGAAACACGTTTTGGGATCTGATATTTGCAAAAATGTGTGTTTTCGGGATGTATGTCCTGTTGTCTTTAATAAAAGACATGAGAGATGTGTATGCCTGTCCATTTTTCAATGGAAACTTATTTTCATCAGACAGGCCTTTTTTAAGTTAAAAGGGCTGCCTGGGACATATTTTTGGATCTGGGATGTACGAGTCTGTGTGTTTTCATGGGATTTATTTCCTGTTGTCTTGATAAAGCTAGATAAAAAAATTATATATATGCTGTTCCTACAAACGTAGAAAGAACACATTTTTGGATTTAGTGATTTTTATGTGTTTGTTTATGTGGAATTTATGCCCTGTTGTCTTTAAAAAAAGACAAGAGAGAGATACTGTATGTATGCTTATGAATTTTTCTTACTGGAAACCTGTTTTTATCAGCTAGACCTTTTCTAAAGTTAAAAGGAGCATCTGGGACTCGTGTAGGCTTACCTTTTCTCTTACGAAAAACTGATTTTTATCAGAAAGGCCTTTTTGAATGGACTATAAAGAACAGGTTCTGGGATTTGATGTGCAAGAGTGTGTTTTCATGCAATTTATGTCCTGTTGTCCTTAAAAAAAACTGAGAGATATGAATGCTTATTCACTTTTCTTACTGGAAAGTGGAAAGTTATTTTAGTCACCTTTTTTAAAGTTGTTTAAAGGACTGTATGGGAAATATTTTTGGATCTGTGGGTCTTTGTGTTTTCATGGGATTTATTTCCTGTTGTCCTGATAAAACTAGACATAAATGAAATAAAACATTTTTTCCAAAAGTCTTTTTAAAAAAGTTAAAAGGACTGTGTTAAACAAAGGACTGTGTTTTAATTTAGTGATTTGTGTGTGTGTGTGTGTGTTTGAAATTGATCTCCTGTGTTCTTTAAAAAAGGCTTTTTTAGAAGGTGCAAGGACTGTGTCAAACACATATTTTGCCTCCTGGAAATGTTAACTTTTCATCAGAAAGGCTGTGTGGCACACGTTTTGTGAATTGAGTGTGTTTCTTCATGAATTTTACATCCACGTTTCACTTGATCCAAACTTATTTTCATCAGAAAGGCTTTTTCTGAGTGGAGTGGTGTAAGCCTGCAGGCGTGGATGCCTAAGTGTGTTTGAATAGTCTAATATCACAATGCCCGTTGAATGCTGTTGCTTCAGGTGTCGCTTGTACTGCAGACTCAGCATTGTCTGAAGTGTAGTTCATTATCTAGACTCGCCCAGGCTTGACAACTTATTATCTTTCTCCTGAATTCTGACTCCGTTTCAATTACCCTCCAACAATGCGTGGCCCTTTCGACAAGCCCCGCCCATCCTCCCCAAAGCGGCCCACCCACAATGCTCTGCCTCCACCAATATTGCACACTGCAGTAGCAGTTCCACCAATTACAGCGACAAGATTGAGCTCGTTATCTAGAGAGGATTTGTCTTATCAGCCAATCAGAGAGGCCGCTGTCAGAGAGAAGCACACTATGGCACGCTTATCAAGACTTGTGGCATTAACTCGAATGAGAACGACAGAGACAATGCAAACCGTAGGTCACGGAGACTTGTAGAGGCCTCTTCTTACCATCTCCTGTCTCTCCATCACTGTCTCTCGTCATTATTTTTTCTATTTGTCTCATCCCTCCATCTTCCACAGCCACACATGACTGCCTCCTTCAGATTTGCATACGTCTAAATGTCCCAGTTCATCACTATTTACTGATCACTGACAAATTAACTTGTCGTGATGGACTTTGATCAGTTAAACTCCTGTTTGGAGGTATCACACTATCCATTAGACCAAAAGAAAAGATGATTATTGGTTTCCTGCTGTCATCATTAGCACTTGTTAATAGATCTGGGGCTAAATGTGTTGATTTGGTGGAGTTCAGTTTGAGTTTTATGCCTGAATTTGCTGAATTTTAAGATCTTTGAAGAAGATTTTTAGGATTTTCTTTCGATATAAACAAAGCAGAGACTTTCTAATAAGATGTCCTTTGTGATTTTTTTGAGATTCTTCAGACCACAGTGTGAAACACACACACACACACACACATGTTGTGTTTCCATGTTTTATGGGGACATTCCATAGGCGTAATGGTTTTTATACTGTACAAACTGTATGTGCTATTGCCCTACACCAACCCTACCCCTAAACCTACCCCTTACAGGAAACTTTGTGCATTTTTACTTTCTCAAAAAAAAAAACTCATTCTGTATGATTTATAAGCTTGTTTCCTCATGGGGACCTCAAAAATGTCCCCACAAGGTCAAAATTTACTAGTATTACTATCCTTGTGGGGACATTTGGTCCCCATAACGTGATAAATACCAGGTATACACACACACACACACACACACACACACACACACAGCATTTATGCACACAGCATAAATAGAAGTAAAGAATAAAATGGTCTGCTGTATTAACGTGTGCAAATATGAATGCAGTTAAATTAGTTATTTAATTTCTATTTGCTACTTTGTTGTTATAGCCTGTTTCCAGTGTACTTGTCTGAGAGATGAATACATTTATTTTTGTATTATTTTTGTGTTATACATTTATATTTGTATTTTGTATTAATTGTGCTAATACATGCAATACTTTCACTATTACCATACAAAGCTGCATTAAACATATTTTAAGTATTGTTTTATTTGATGTATTAATTCCACAGAACGTCATCTAGCATTTATTTATTTCTCTTTAGAAATACAAGGAATATGAGAAATCGGTGCGAATAGAGGAGATCGACGGCGCAAAATTGGTGAAAAATCTGGCGCAGAATATGGAGGAAATTTTTCGGAAAAAAGCGGAGGCCACACGAGTAAGTAACTTGAGAGGAAAATTATTTGAAATGCTCAGCATGCGACTTTCCGTTTTTTTAAATACATTTGTTAATATAAGTTGTTTGTTATTTTATTATTATTATTGTTAGCTTGATATTTTTCGAACTGTTCTATGATTTTTGCACGAATTCCTTTGTTTCAGTCAGCATTTTCCATCACTCATGTATTGGATGCTGCAGCCGCAACAGCTTTATTTATTACTAACGTTTAAAAAGCCTCTCGATTAAAGCTTCTCCCTTCTATATAGAAGAACATATAGATTTTCCCGTTATAACCTGCTCGTACCGTTATTCTTCAGAGGGACACACGCGGTCCAGGCTATAATTGCCTGTGTGTGTGGAGTGTGTGGAGGAGATAGGCTTATCTAACTCCTGCAGATACACACTGTCACTTTATGATGCAATGGAGTCGGTTTGCCATGAAAGGTAAAACCCATGAAATACACCTCATGCGTTTGTAGCTTTCAACTGCATACTGATTTGATAAAAAGCATGCGCGTATTTTGGCTAAATAAATGTACACGTTTGTCGGATTTGAAGGGAGTCGATGCAATTTATACCACAGAAATCCAATTGCATTGCAGCGCGTTTGATTTCGTTTCAAAATAATACAAATACAGGAAGACATCATTTAAACATTTTTGTTTCGTGTTTGAATCCAGAGTGATTTTATTTTTGAATGTTTTTTACTGGCAATGCCTCGCGCAAATAGTTTATCTAACTTAAATCATTTGTAAACTAATGTTTTTGTTATATAGCCTACTTATTTTATGATAAATCTATAATAAAATTACAAATGATGTCGTCTTTTTATGCTCACCTGCTCAGGTGGGACAGAGAAAATCGCGCGCTGACTTATTTGACTGAAATATTTTTCTGCAAGCTGTTAAAAAGTGTTAATGTATAATATGCAGAACTTCAGTTGGGGTGGTTAAAGAACAAATGATAAACTGTCTTTCAGGGGTGTCAATTTCTTAAAGTAACTCTGTCGGCTTATTTATAAGGGTGTAATCTTTTATGGTTCAGCAACAAACTAACTAAGCGTCAATTCGACTTTTTAGACAAAATAGCGTACACGTTAGCGTTTTTATAGAAAATATTTAAGATTTAAATCTCTACTGAAGCCATAAATGCTAATTTGTCATGTTTGTTAAAGTGCAAAACTGATAATAATCGCAACTGGAAGCGTTAAAGCGTCTGTATTATGTAAACGTGCAATTCCGTTCGCTAGCGCTGCCTGTTCGGCGTCAGGTGAAAATACGCGCTCTAACTACCTCGTAGCTTTTGTGGTTAATGAGGCGATTAAAAACACGATTGAAATGTATTTGTGTGAAAAGTACACGCAAACCACCCCAAGCCTTTTGTTTTGATTGTCTTTTGAGGTCAAAACAGAAAGACAGTCAAAAAAACAAACAAAAAAACTTATTGCTGACATGCATAAAGACATTTTTTTCAGGAACATAACCTCATTTTATTATTATTATTATATTTTACAGGGCAGTTTGGCTTATATTTCTAGAGGGTGTTTATAAATTGGCACAAAGCCTCGTTTTTGGTTATTATGTTGCTGTAATTTCCTCGAAATACAACAAGTATTAATTATTTTTCCTAAAGCGCTTTGTGGATTGGAAGCAATTATACCGCCATGTAACTAAAAATGCATGCCAGCAGTTTTCAATGACAACAAAACATGCACTGTCCTTTACACGCACACACAACATTGTGTTTGCCGCAAGGCAATAAGCCGCCACGTGAAATACTACCTGTTTGCAAACAGCAGGTAAACTAAACTGTTACACTTATACAATTACTTTCATAAATAATTGATTATGACTATTTAACTTTCAATTATTAGTATTTATGACGGGGGTTGTCTCTTTTATTCTCCGGTGAATGTTTCTCAGGGTCAGTTTATTATTGAAAGTCAGTGTATGAACTCATATATAAACCAAGGCATTTTGAAAGTACATTGACTTATGGTCTGATAAGCATTATAAAATGTAATATATTTGTAAATGACTTACTGATAAAACATATGAAAGATATACAATTTCTATTATTATTATTATTACCACAAATGTCTGCATCTTTGAAAGCTCTTGTAGCCCATCAAGAAGAAATCTGTGTGTGTTTCCATCAATCATCTCTTCTAAGTTTCTGCTGTTTTCTCTATCATGTTACTCATATGTAGAGGCTCGTAGAAGCAGCAGAGGAAGCTCATCTCCAGCATGAGGAAAACCCTGACCTACAGGTGAGAGAGTTTGTACACTTGTACAGTATGTATTGCCGTATTATATGGGATGATTTCAGAACCATGGACAGTTCTTTGTTCAGAAAAAAAAACAAAAAAAAACAGTTGTTCTGTTGCTCTAATTCCACCCCGTGGTGTCAGAAATATCCAAACACATCTAAAATATGCATATTCATTTTTAAAATATTCCTATTGCCATGGATATTTCATAGAGTGTAATAGGAAATTGTATTGTATTCTTTAGAATAGACTCTTAGGAGATGTTTTCATGGTAAAGCCCCTCGCACTCCTTGCCGTAATCTTGTGGCCCTGCTTTATGCAAATGTCCTGTACATGACCTCCAGCTTAGTTCTTGAAGTGAATTATATTTATATATATTTATGTGCTGGAAGCCCTCCCCTCTATCCGGCCTCCACACTCCGACTAAGATAAATGACTCCACATTGGCTGCGCTATTCAGGGACAAATTGAAAATTCACTGAAGCAAAATACGTTTAAAATAATGGTATCCCCCCTCAGTAATGAATTCATGCACTCACTCTGTTATACGTAGGAATACATTTCCAATGATTCATAAACATTTATTTTTTTTATTCACATAACTAATTATAGTGAAAGAGTCTGCTTGCGGTCTCTACATTTCTCTCTGTTGTTTTTATAACAGAAAAGTTTTTGCTGAACCGAAGGATGTTTATTTTAGATCTCCAAACTCCATATTTATACACTTATTAATTCACTGTTTTTTTGTAGGCCACATTTATATATATATATATATATATATATATATATATATAGCTTAGCAAATTAGCAATTGATTGAACATTTTATTGACGTCAAACAAAGACATCAGGACATTAAAAATGCAATGTATATTTATTATAGGAATAAATATAAGAAATTCCTTTCAAAAATAATTTGTGACCAGAATAGCTCATTAATCAATAGATATAAAAAAAAAAATGTTGTAAAAATGAATATTGCTGTTTTTATATATATTTAATATTATATTTAGTATATTTATTTGGTATATTTAGTATATTTAAAACATTAATTTTGTGTAAGAATTATTTATTAAAAGAACATTGTGAACATTTTTATTGATTTTGATGTCGATCAAAGACTTCAGGACATTAAAATGCAAAATATAAAAAAAATAGATGCAAAAGAATAAAGAAAATAATGAAATCAATTACAGTTTCAAAAGGTATAAAAATGCACCAAATATACATTATATGACATGGAAATAAAAGTCATGAAATGTTGTTATTGTAGATTTTTTTCCCCACCGCCTTACTGTACATATATAAAAACTAGTCTGGCTAAGAGTGAATGTTTCTAAAGGTCTGGATGAAATGGTTCTGACCGTGACTCTTTGAATGAGGAGTTCTGACTCAGAACCCACTGAGACCGGGACTCGGTCGGGTGTGCAGCTCCTGCTCCTGCTGTTTGTTGATAACCCTCAAAGCTTGTCGCAGTGCTGTCAGAAATGCTGAGTGTGGAGCGTTTGTCCTCCGTCTCGCTACGCTCCTCTCGACTCCACTCCCCCTCCGCCCCTCCAGGGGTGTATCACCGGAGCGCCCAGCCGTGGTATGAGCTGTCATTGCTGGGCTTTGTACTGATGCATCCCCCTCCGCAAAAGGAGCTGTAGTCAAGTGGATACACCCATACACACACCGCTTGATGGTAAACACAAAGGTGTTACCAAGTACACTCACCTAACAGATAGATAGCCTCTTTTCACAGAATGACCTCTGATTCAGTAAAGTGAGAGGTAGTTTAATCACGCAGGGCCTCTGGACACAAACTAAATGTTCTTCGTCCGTTATCCTTTATAGTTCGACGGGGGCAACAGAGAGAAATGTTTGTGTGTGTGTGTGTGTGTGTATGCTATCCATTAACATAACCTTTTTTAATGGTTTAGTTTATCCATTTATGCATACCTGACTGTTTTCCTGTAGGAAAGAAAAATCTCATGTTTAATGTCTGCATTTTATTTTTACTCACAAAAGTTTCAGATCTCAACAGTAGTGTCTGAAACTGTGCCCATATTTGACATCTGCGCTGACATCTACATTGAAGTCTGCATTAAAAAAAGTCAGAAATTTCAATATGAGCTTTCTTGGAGAAACATCTGAGCCAAAGTTGATACTTAAATGATAATTAAACATAACAGATCTCCGTTAAATCCCTATTAATTCATATTGATTCATGTTTTTGTAAAAAGTCTCATATACTCACCATTTATTTGCTCAAAAATATAGTAAACATAGTAATATTTTTAAAGAAATCGTTTCAATTTCAATGTTTTAAAGTGTATTTTATTTCTGTGATGCAAAGCTGAATTTCAGCATCATTACTCCAGTCTTCAGTGTCACATGATCCATCAGAAATCATTCTAATATGATAACTTGCTGCTCAAGAAACATTAATTATTACTATCAATGTTGAATACAGTTGTGCTGCTTTATATTTTTGTGGAAACCTTTATGCATTTCTTTTCAGGATTATTTGATGAATAGAAAACAAACAGCATTTATATGAAATAGAACACTTGTAGCATTGAAATTGTATGTACTGTCACTTTTGATCAATTTAAATTTCCTTGCTGAATAAAAGTATTAATTTCTTTAAAAAAAAAAAAGTTTGCTGACCACAAACTTTTAAATGGTAGTGTACTGTAACACTATAGAATGCATATTAGTAATATTGCTCTATCATTGTTACTTTTTCATTTCTTTTTTCCAGCCTGACACCCCTATATTTACTTGTTTTGTTCATTTTCTCCTACAGTATGAATATTTCAATGCAGTGCTGATAAACGAGGTGGATGAAGACGGGAACAGCGTGGAGCTGGGAGGAGAGTTTCTCCTGGAACCCAATGATCATTTTAATAACCTATCTGTCAACCTCAGCCTCAGCGTGGTGCAGGTGCCAACCAACATGTACAATAAAGGTGATGCATCCTGTTTTTACCTGGACATACAGAATATGAGCTGTGATTCAACCAACATGACACGTTGATTGGTTGAAGGCAGTACAAGAACACGCACAGTCCTAAAACTGTTTACTGTCCTGAGCAGCAGGATGAGAAAAACATCAATTCGTTTCATGCTTTTTAAGAGCTCTCAGAATTTAAGAATTGGTAAAACATCTGCTATAGTATAATGAAATATTGTTGCTTGCAAGAAGTGGATTTTGTCAGCAAGCGTATGTTTTTGAATGGTCATCAGTGGAAAAAGATGCTTTGTGCAACAAAATGGTGCAGTTCCTCCATCTACCAGCAGGGGCAAGCTGCTTAAAGTCACCATGAAATCAAAATTGAAAATGGAATACTGTAGTGTTTATTATAAATAATTTATCCGTGCACTTCATTATTTTTTTTAAATGTGCAGCGCAGCGCAGCGCTGTTTAGGCATGTTTTGTGCCGTTGATCGTCGTCGTCGTCCTTAATAAATAAAACATTTATTCATGCTAGGGTGTCGGCTGTGAATCCAGTGGAGAGAAATCCCCCACCACTAACTGCAAACTGCTATTCAGATCTGCCTCCATTTTATTAGCAATGCCCCAACTTCCAACGATCCAATCAATTCCCGAAGGACGAAATCAAGTCCCGCCCTCTCATTTCAGATGCCGTTTCACTCGGATATACGTCACAGTAGAGAAGAAAAGACAATCGCAACTTTCGTTTCATGCCGACTTTAAAGTTGCGATAAAATGGATATTGGATATTTTTTTCTCTATTGTGACATATATCCAAGTGAAATGGAATATAAAAAATAAAAAAAGTAAAAAATGAAGGGCGAGGACTTGGTTCTATAAAATATGCACTATCAGTCAAAAGCTTGGAATCATTCAGTTTTTTATGTTTTTGAAATAAAATAAAATAATATTATGAAATATTATCAAAATTAGGTATAGATAGGTATAGAAAAGAATCCCCCCCCCCCCCCTTTACAATAATTACATTTTATTGCTTTGCAGCCTGAAATGAAGACGGACACAGTTTTTGTTTTACCCAGCTGTATTTACTCAGTGCAACTTATAACATCCAAGTGAAAGATATAACACCAACAGAAAAAAATAAATAAATAAAAAGAATCAATGAGTTGGAAAAAGGATGACTTGTAAACTCAATCAGGTGTAGCTAATCACCTTCTCAACGGCACACAAAGGATGCATCTGAAAACTTAGGCAGCTGACTTGCTGCCTCGCTGCCGTATGAGGCAATGACTTTGCAGGCAGCGTTTTTGCACAAAGGCACCTTATGAAACTGATTTTGGACAGGCCTCTGAGGCAGAGTAACGGTTTAATGATCTACAGCAAAATATAGAGAGCTTTGGTGATAACTAAGTGAATATTTAATTACGGCAATATTAATTTCTTGCTAGAAATGACATCAAAAGTGGAAAACGTTGATCAAAAACGTACATTTACACACAAACTGACCATCAACCACAACTTTCAGACGCCATCTTTATTTTTTAGCTTAACTGTCACAGAATGGAACGCACAGGATTGTGGGATATCAAAGGCAGCGAAGGATACATCTATGCTGCCTTCAAAAATCGGCCAGATGAAGGCATCTCAGGAGACAGGAACTGAAGCTAACATTGAATTCGGACGTGCCTTGATGCCTTCCTACCTTGGAATGCGTCCTGCGAAGGCAGCATTTTTCAGTTTTCGGATGCAACTGTGATCAGCTGTGGTCATTTTGATTATCTCAGCATGCAAAGAGGTTTCCTGGAGCATTTCAGTCCTTGGTAGTGCAATTGAAGCAAACAATCAACTATGGGTGGCAAGGCACTGTCAAAAGATCTCCGGGATAAAGTTTACCAATGCCTAGAAGCACAGTGAAGTCTATTATTAAGAAGTGGAA